AGGAAGGAAGAGTAAGGGAAGGAGAGGAGAAGGAAGGAAGGAAGGAGTAAGGGAAGGAAGGAAGGAAGGAGTAAGGGAAGGAAGAGGAGGGAAGGAAGAAAGGAGTGAGGGAAGGAAGGAAGAAAGGAGGAGGGAAGGAAGGAAGGAAGGACTGAGGGAAGGAAGGAAGGAGTGAGGGAAGTGAAGGAAGGAAGGAGTAAGGAAGGAAGAGGAGGGAAGGAAGAAAGGATGAGGGAAGGAAGGAAGAAAGGAGGAGGGAAGGAAGGGAAGGAGAAAGGAAGGAAGGAGTGAAGGAAGGAAGGAAGGAGTGAAGGAAGGAAGAGAGGAGGAGAAGGAAGAAAGGAGTGAGGGAAGGAAGAAAGGAGTGAGGGAAGGAAAGAATGGAGTGAGGGAAGGAAAGAAGAAAGGAGTGAGGGAAGGAAGGAAGGAGTGAGGGAAGGAAGGAAGAAAGGACTGAGGGAAGGAAGGAAGGAAGGAAGAGAGGAGTGAGGGAAGGAAGAAAGGAGTGAGGGAAGGAAAGAAGAAAGGACTGAGGGAAGGAAGGAAGGAGTGAGGGAAGGAAGAGTGCGTGAAGGAAGGAAGGAAGGAAGGAAGGAAGGAAGACACTAGGTAATTTCGTCAGTTCCGTCTTTGACAATATTGGCTGAGGCGACCCACAGTGCTCCTCACACCACCCCGCTATTATGCCTATCTCCACCCATTCCCGCCCTCACTACACCCATACACCACCCTTATACAACATATGGGCGGCTCTTTAACCACCCTGCCACCCACACCACTCAGGATAAATGAGTTGGTATATAATATGTAAGAAAGAGATACAGTATATCGGGGTTTAGTGAATATTTAATAAGCGAATCGTTTAATGCCTAGTTAATTCTGTAACCTGGAGGGCATAATTAAAAGTGTCACATTTTCTCGCCACAATAATGCTCTGGTTCCCTCTCCTCCCTCTCTCCTCCCCCTCTCCCCCCTCTCGCCCCTCTCCTCCGCCCGCAAGAGAGGGAAGGTTGGCTGGATTGTGATGTACGATGATAATTTTCATGTCCCTATAAACCTTTATCCAATAATATACACTCGATATACTACACCCTATATCTACATCTGGTTATACAATTTAACACCATAATATCTCCTGTGACACGAGAAACACGAGAGAGATATAATGATAAATAGAAATCACAAAAGAACAGCTAGAAGACCAATGCGGGAAAATTCAAATTAAATTAGGAGGAAGGGCGCGAAATTCAAATGAATGGCGGGATTTTCAAATTAAGAGCGTTGTTCCAGTCCAATAAACGCGGGGACAGATTATTGGAGACACGACGTTAGATTGCTGTGAATTCTCCACTCTCTCTCTCTCTTTCCTTCTTTCTTTTCAAACGGTGCGGGTTCAAAGCGCCTTCATCATTTCTTTTGTGACGGTGAGTAGGGGGAGGGTGGGTGGGGTGGGTGGGGTGTAGGGGGTGGGTGGGGTGGGTGGGGTGAGTGACGCCAGGATAACACGGAACAGTTTTTGTGTTTGGTGGCAAAGTTGTCAACATTTCCGTCGTGTTTACGGGTGACAGGAGGCGAGTCTTGCCTTAATGTTCGACTCAAGTATTGTAAGTGACGGCGTTAACTGTCGCGTCTTGTGGCTGTGTACTGCTGTAATAACGCGTCTTGTGGCTGTGTACTGCTGTAATAACGCGTCTTGTGGCTGTGTACTGCTGTAATAACACGTCTTGTGGCTGTATACTGCTGTAATAACACGTCTTGTGGCTGTGTACTGCTGTAATAACACGTCTTGTGGCTGTGTACTGCTGTAATAACACGTCTTGTGGCTGTGTACTGCTGTAATAACACGTCTTGTGGCTGTGTACTGCTGTTAATAACGTCTTTAGTGCTGTATATCGCTGTAATATTGCTCTAAAAAGCGTAAAATGCTGTAATAACACGTCTTGTGGCTGTGTACCGTTGCAATAACGTTGCCTTGTGGCTGTGCAGTACCGCTGTAATAACACGTCTTTGGTGGCTGTGTACCGCTGTAATAACACGTCTTGTGGCTGTGTACCGCTGTAATAACATCGTCTTGTGGCTGTGCATCACAAAATAACACGTCTTTGTGGCTGTGTACTGCTGTAATAACACGTCTTGTATGCATTGCTGTAATAACACGTCTTGTGGCTGTGTACTGCTGTAATAACACGTCTTGTATTGTGTGTGTACCGCTGTAATAACGCGCCTTGTGGCTGTGTACCGTTGCAATAACACGTCTTGTGGCTGTGCATGTTGCAATAACACGTCTTGTAGGCTGTGTACCGCTGTAATAACACGTCTGAAATACAATAACAGGTCTTGTGGCTGTGTACTGCTGTAATAACATCGTCTTTGTGGCTGTGTACTGCTGTAATAACACGTCTTGTGGCTGTGTACTACTGTAATAACACGTCTTGTGGCTGTGTACTGCTGTAATAACACGTCTTGTGGCTGTGTACTGCTGTAATAACACGTCTTGTGGCTGTGTACTGCTGTAATAACACGTCTTGTGGCTGTGTACTGCTGTAATAACACGTCTTGTGGCTGTGTACTGCTGTAATAACACGTCTTGTGGCTGTGTACTGCTGTAATAACACGTCTTGTGGCTGTGTACTGCTGTAGTGATAAGAACATAAGAATGGAGGAAACTGCAGCCGGCCTATTGGCCCATACTGGGCAGTCCCATTTACAGCCAACCTCAATGAGCATCCAACCTGTGTTTGAAGCTATCCAGCGTATTCCAGTTAATGATGATATTTGGTAACTTGTTCCATTCATCCACTACTCTGTTAACAAACCAATGTTTACCTATTTCGCGCCTAAATCTAAATTTGTCTAATTTAAAACCATTGTTACGAGTTCGCTCCTGGTTGGATAGTTTGAGTACCTTTGTTATATCACCTTTGTTCAGCCCTGACTTCCATTTATACACCTCTATCATATCGCCCCTCACTCTACGTCTCTCGAGGGAGTGTAAATTAAGATGCTTTAACCTGTCTCTGTACTCAAGGTTCCTAATGCCCGGGATTAGTCTGGTCATTCTCCTCTGAACTGCGTAATCCAAGTGAGGTCTAACAAGCACAAGATATAGTTTTAGGATGACCTCGCTAGTCTTGTAACTAACACTCCTTTGTATGAACCCAAGTACTTTATTAGCCTTGTTCCCAGCTAATACACATTGTTCACTTGGTTTAAGATTCCTACTTATCATTACTCCTAAATCTCTCTCGTACTCAGATTTCTCAATAACATCGTTGTTCATCTGGTAACTTGTTTCCCTGTTTACATCTCCTATACTGAGTACTTTACATTTGTCCACATTGAATTTCATCTGCCATTTTTCAGACCATTCGAAAAATTTGTTTAGATCTTCCTGTAGTTTTGTGGAGTCCTCGTCAGATTTAATAACACGTCCTAATTTAGTGTCAACAGCAAATTTACTTATGTTGCTGTGTTGTGGCTGTGTACTCCTGTAGTGATGGTCGTTCAGGTGACGGGCAAGTCGAATGGAATGATTGAAACTCTCTTTTTGACGCATTTAATATTTACTGATGTGGTCAAAACCTACAGAGAAGATGGCGTTCACTAGCATTACATGGTGATCTATCTGATACATAATTAGTTATTCTCAGACGATTTCATCTTAATTACTATTGATTATTGACCATTGTGACATGATACAAAGTTCATAAATCTATTAATCATCGCTACACTTCATTCTGCATTGTCTTAGTGCTCCAGTTAAGGCAGAAACGAGTAGGCATAATTAGTCCACAATATTTCAGTACTGAGGGGCATGTCATCACTTAGGCTGCAACTCGGCCAGGATTGGGAGGTGTCACAAGTATGGTGTCAGGAGGATGGTGTCACAAGTATGGTGTCAGGAGGATGGTGTCACAAGTATGGTGTCAGGAGGATGGTGTCACAAGTATGGTGTCAGGAGGATGGTGTCACAAGTATGGTGTCAGGAGGATGGTGTCACAAGTATGGTGTCAGGAGGATGGTGTCACAAGTATGGTGTCAGGAGGATGGTGTCACAAGTATGGTGTCAGGAGGATGGTGTCACAAGTATGGTGTCAGGAGGATGGTGTCAAGTATGGTGTTAGGAGGATGGTGTCCTAGCGTGTAGTGTCCAGGAGATGGTGTCTGATATGGTGTCAGGAGGATAGTGTCACAAGTATGGTGTCAGGAGGATAGTGTCAAAGTATTTGTCGGGAGGTGGTGTCCACAAGTATGGTGTCAGGAGATGGTTGTCTAAAGTATGGTGTCAGGAGGATGGTGTCACAAGTATGGTGTCAGGAGGATGGTGTCACAAGTATGGTGTCAAGAGGATGGTGTCTGAGTATGGTGTCAGGAGGATGGTGTCACAAGTGATGGTGTCAGGAGGATGGTGTCACAAGTATGGTGTCAGGAGATTGGTGTCTGAAGTGTGGTGCAGGAGGATGGTGTCACAAGTATGGTGTCAAGAGATGGTGTCAGAAGTGTAGTGTCTCACAATGTAGTGTCAGGAGATGGTGTCACAAGTATGGTGTCAGGGAGATGGTGTCACAAGTATGGTGTCAGGAGGATGGTGTCTGATATAGTTTCAGGAGATGGTATCACAGTATGGTGTCAAGGGATAGTATCTAAGTATGGTGTCAGGATAGTGTCCTATGTGGTGTCAGGAGATGATGGTCCCAAGTATGGTGTCAAGGAGATAGTGTCACAAGTATGGTGTCAGGAGGATATAGTGTCACAAGTATGGTGTCAGGAGATGGTGTACAAATATGGTGTCAGGAGGATAGTGTCACAAGTATGGTGTCAGGAGGATGGTGTCTGAAATATGAGTCATCAGGGATGGTGTCCAGGTGTGGTGTCCTGAAATGTATGGTGTCAGGAGGATGGTGTCACAAGTATTGTCAGGAGGATGGTGTCACAAGTATGGTGTCAGGTGTTGTCAAAAATACCTAACATTTAATTCACACTGTTTCTCCTCTTTCCAGGCATCATCACTGTCCTCGAGCATAAAATATGCTGACAAAGTTTGTTTTTCTGCCTTGGCCCACTACCTGTTGTCTTGACCCACTACCTGTTGTCTTGCACTATGTTGTCTTGACCACTACCTGTTGTCTTGACCCACTACCTGTTGTCTTGACCCTACCTGTTGTCTTGACCCACTACCTGTTGTCTTGACCCTACCTGTTGTTTTATCCCACTACCTGTTGTTTTGACCCTCTGAGCCTACCTGTGTTTTGACCACTACCTGTTGTTTTGACCCTGTTGTCTTGACCCACTACCTGTTGTCTTGACCCACTACCTGTTGTCTTGACCCTACTCTCTATTATGTATTTTCTACTGTTGTTTTGACTCCCTCTACCTGTTATTTTGGCCCACTACCTGTTGTTTGATACCTGTTGTTTTTGACCCACTACCTGTTGTTTTTTATTTTACTACCTGTTTTATTCCCTACCTGTTGTTTTGACCTATCTATTTTTCCCTTTTTTCTATTTATGTTACACCTTGTTTTGACCCTACCTGTTTTTTATTTTCTGTTTTGGACCCCTACCTGTTGTTTGACCCTACCTGTTGTTTTGACCCACTACATGTTCCCTACCTGTTGTCATGACCCTCCTGTTGTCTTGACCCTACCTGTTATTTTGACCCACTACCTCTTAACCCCTCCCTGTTGTCTTTACCTGTTGTTTTACTCTTATTCCTCATTTGTTTTGTCCTCCTCTCCTCCTCCTCCTCCTCCCTCCTCCTCCTCTTCCTCTTCCTCCCTCCTCGTCCTCTCCTCCTTCCTCCCTCTTCCTCCCCTCCTCTTCCTCTCCTCTTCCTCCCTCCTCTTCCCCTCCTCCCCTCCTCCTCCTCCTCCTCCCTGCTCCTCCTCCTCTCTCTTCCTCCTCCCTCCTCCTCCCCTTCCTCCTCCTCCCCCTCCCCTCTCTTGCTCCCTCCTCCCCCTCCTCCCCTCTTCCTCCTCCTCCTCTTCCTCCTCCTCCTCCTCTTCCTCCTCTCCTCCTCTCCTCCCTCTTCCTGCTCCTCCTCCTCTTCCTCCTCCTCCTCTTCCCTCCTCCTCCTCCTCATCTTCCTCTCCTCCCTCCTCCTGCCTCCTCCCTCCCCTCCCCCCTCCCTCTCTCCCTCCCTCCCCTCCTCCTCCTCCTCCTCCTCCTCCTCCTCCTCCCTCTTCCTCTTCCTCCTCTCCTTCCCTGCTCTCCTCCTCGTCCTCCTCCTCCTCCTCCTTCCTCCTCCTCTCCTCCTCTTCCTGCTCCTCCTCTCCTCCCCTCCTCTCTCCCCTCCTCCTCCTCTTCCTCCTCCTCCTCTCCTCCTCCCCTCCTCCTCTTCTCCCCTCCTCCTCCCCTCCTCTTGCTCCTCCTCCTCCTCCTCCTCCTCCTCCCTCCTCCTCCTGCTCCTCCCTCTTCCTGTCCTCCTCCTCCTCCCTCCTCCTCCCACTTTCCTCCCTCCTCCTCTCCTCCCTCCTCCTCCTCCTCTTCCCTCTCCTCCCTCCTCTCCTGCTCCTCCTCTCTTCCTCCTCCTCCTCTCCTCTTCTCCCTCCTCCTCCTCCTCCTCTTCCTCCTCCTCCTCCTCCTCCTCTTCCTGCTCTTCCTCCTCCTCCTCTTCCTCCTCCTCCTCTTCCTCCTCCTCCTCCTCCTCTTCCTCCTCCTCCCCTCCCCTCTTGCTCCTCCTCCCCTTCCTCCTCCTCTTCCTCCTCCTCCTTCCTCCTCCTCTTCCTCCTCCTCCTCTTCCTCCTCCTCCTCCCTCTTCCCTCCTCCTCCTCCCTCCTCTCCTCTTCCTCTTCCTCCCTCCCTCATCCTCCTCCTCATCCTCCTCTCCTCCCTCCCCTCCTCCTCTTCCCTCCTCCTCCCCTCCTCCTCCTCCTCTTCCCTCCTCCTCCTCCTCCTCCCTCTCCTCCTCTCTTCCTGCTCCTCTCCTCTTCCCCTCCTCCTCCTCCTCTTCCCTCCTCTCCTCCTCGTCCTCCTCCTCGTCCTCCTCTTCCTCCTCCTCATCCTCCTCTTCCTCCTCCTCTCCCTCCTCCTCCTCCCTCCTCCTCCTTCCTCCTCCTCCTCCTCCTCCCCTCTTCCCTCCTCCCTCTCATCCTCCTCCCCTCCTCCTCTTCCTCCCTCCTCCCCTCCTCTTCCCTCCCTCCCCTCCTCTCCCCTCCTCCTCCCTCTTCCTCCTCCTCTTCCTCCTCCTCTCCCTCTCTCTCCTTCCTCCTCCCTCCTCCTCCTCCTCTCCTCCTCCTCCTCTCTCCTCCCCTCCCTCCCTTCCTCTCCTCCCTCCCCCTCCTCCCTCTTCCCTGCTCCTCCTCTTCCTCCTCCTCCTCTTCCTCCCTCTCCCCTCCCCCCTCCCTCTTGCTCCTCCTCCCCTCCTCCTCCTCTTCCTCCTCCCCCCCTCCTCCTCCTCTTCCTCCTCCTCTTCCTCCTCCTCTTTCTCATCCTCCTCTTCCTCCTCATCCCTCTTCCTCCTCCTCCCTCTTCCTCCTCTCCCCTCCCCCTCCTCTTGCTCCTCCTCCCCTCCCTCCTCCTCCTCCTCCTCCTCTTCCTCCTCCTCTCCTCCTCCTCCTCCTCCTCCTCCTTCCTCCTCCTCTCCTCCTCTCCTCCCTCCTCCTCTTTCTGCTCTTCCTCCTCATCCTCTTCCTCCTCCTCCTCTTCCTCCTCCTCCTCTTCCTCCTCCTCTTGCTCTCCTCCCCTCCCCTCCTCTCATCCTCCTCCTCCTCCCCTCCTCTTCCTCCTCTCCTCCTCCTCTTCCCTCCTCCTCCTCATCCTCCTCCCTCCTCTCCTCCCCTCCTTCTCTTCCTCCTCCCTCCTCCTCCCTCCTCCTCCTCCCTCTTCTCTTCCTCCTCCTCCTCCCTCCTCCTCCTCCCCTCCCCCTCCTCCTCCTCTTCCTCCCTCTCTTGCTCCTCCTCCCCCTCCTCCCCTCCTCCTCTTCCTCTCCCTCCTCTCCCCTCCTCCTCCTCCTCCTCCCTCCTCTTCCTCCCTCCTCCCTCCCTCTTCCTCCTCTTCCTCCTCCCTCCTCCCTCTTCCTGCTCTCCTCCTCCTCCCTCCCCTCCTCCCTCTTCCTCCTCCTCCTCCCCTCCCCTCCTCTTTCTCTCCTCCTCCTCCTCTTCCTCCCTCCTCTTTCCTCCTCCTCCTCTTCCTCCTCCTCCTCTTCCTCCTCCTCCCTCCTCCTCTTCCTCCTCCTCCTCTTCCTCTTCCTCCTCCTCCTCTTCCTCCTCCTCTTCCTCCTCCTTCCTCCTCCTCCTCCTCCTCCCCTCCTCCTCCCCTCCTCCTCCCTCCTCTTCCCTCCTCCCTCCTCCTCTTCCTCCTCCTCCTCTTCCTCCTCCCTCCTCCTCCTCCTCGTCCTCTCATCCTCCTCCTCCCTCTCCTCCCTCTTCCTCCCTCTTCCCTCCTCCTCCCTCTCCTCTTCCCTGCTCCTCCTCTCATCCTCCTCCCTCCCTCTTCCTCCTCCTCTCCTCCTCCTCCTCTCATCCTCCCTCTTCCTCCTCCCCTCCTCCTCTCTTCTCCCTCTCCTCCTCCTCGTCCTCCTCCTCCTCCTCTTCCTCCTCCTCTCCTCCTCTTCTCTCCTCCTCCTCGTCCTCCTCCTCCTCTTCCTCCTCCTCTTCCTCCTCCTCCTCTTCCTCCCTCCTCCCTCTTCCTCCTCGTCCTCCTCCTCCTCTCTCCTCCTCCTCCTCCTCCTCCTCCTCCTCCCTGCTCCTCCTCCCCTCTTCCTCCTCCTCTTCCTGCTCCTCCTCTTCCTCCCTCCTCCTCTTCCTCCTCCTCCCCTCCCCCCTCCTCTCCTCCTCCTCCCCTCCCTCCTCCTCTTCCTCCTCCTCCCCTCCTCCTCCTCTTCCTCCTCCTCCCCCTCCTCCCTCCCCTCTTCCTCCTCCTCTTCCTCCTCCTCTTTCTCACTTCCTCTCTTCCTCCTCATCCTCTTCCTCCTCCTCTTCCTCCCTCCTCCCCTCCCCTCCCTCTTGCTCCTCCTCCCCCTCCTCCTCCTCTCTTCTCCTCCTCCTCCTCTTCCTCCTCTCCTCCCTTCCTCCTCCTCCTCCTCCTCTTCCTCCTCCTCCTCCTCCTCCTCCTCCTCCTCCTCTTTCTGTCTTCCTCCTCATCCTCTTCCTCCTCCTCTCTTCCTCCTCCTCCTCTTCCTCCTCCTCTTGCTCCTCCTCCTCCTCCTCTCCTCCTCTCCTCCTCCTCCTCCTCCTCCTCCTCCTCCTGCTCCTCCTCTCTTCCCTCCTCCTCTTCCTGCTCCTCCTCTTCCTCTCCTCCTCTTCCTCCTCCTCCCTCCCCCCTCCTCTTGCTCCTCCTTCCCTCCTCCTCCTCTTCCTCCTCCCTCCCCTCCTCCTCCTCTTCCTCCTCTCTTCTCCTCCCCTCTTTCTCCATCCTCCTCTTCCTCCTCATCCTCTTCCTCCTCCTCCTCTTCCTCCTCCTCCCTCCCCTCCTCTTCTCCCTCCTCCTCCCCTCCTCCTCCTCTTCCTCCTCCTCCTCCTCTTCCTCCTCTCCTCCTCCTCCTCCTCCTCTTCCTCCTCCTCCTCCTCCCTCCTCCTCCTCTTTCTCTTCCTCCTCATCCTCTTCCTCCTCCTCCTCTTCCTCCTCCTCTCTTCCTCCTCTGCTCCTCCTCCCCCTCCTCCCCCTCCTCCTCCTCGTCTCCTCCTCTCTCCTCCTCCTCTTCCTCCTCCTCTCCCCTCCTCTTCCTCCTCCTCCTCCTCTTCCTCCTCCTCTTCTCCTCCTCCTCTTCCTCCTCCTCCTCTTCCTCCTCCTCCCCCTCCCCTCTCTGCTCCTCCCCTCCTCTTCCTCTCCCCTCCTCCTCCTCCTCTTCCTCCCTCTCTTCTCTCCCCTCTTCCTCCTCCTCTTCCTCCTCCTCCTCCTCCTCCTCCTCCTCCTCCTCCTCCTCCCTCTTCCTCCTCCTCCTCCTCCTCCTCTTCCCTCCTCCTCCTCCTCCTCTCCTGTCCTCCTCCCTCCTCCTCATCCTCCTCCTCCTCCTCCTCTCCTCCTCCTCCCTCCTCATCCTCTCATCCTCCTCTCCTCCTCCTCTTCCTCCTCTTCCTCTCCTCCTCCTCCTCCTCTTCTGCTCCTCCTCC